TGATGGAGGTGTGGTGTAATGGAGCGGTAGAGGGACTTCAGGAAGGACAGGAGCCGGAGACTTTAGAGCCCCTTCCTGTACATAAAGGGGCTCCAAGAGAGTTTTTCCAGGTCTCTTCCAACCCAAACCTTTCCAGAATCAGGATTCTGAGAGAAAGCCGGAGCAAACATCTCTCTTGCTTCCTCATCCGGACCTCAGGAATTTCTGTTCCAATCTTCCTTCCTGGTGACTCACCGGAGGGTGGAGGCTGTAGAAAAGCAGGTTTGGCATTGCAACCCTATAAATGCCCGAAGGCAGGGAAATCTGCAGGAATCAGTGACAATGCAGCCAGCACCAATGCATGAAAAACACTGCTCAGAGTGCATGGACAATGCCAAGGAGCTGCTGAGCATCTCCACCCTGCGAGGAGGCAGGAAGGCTCCTTGGATTCAGCTGGATGAGGAGGATCGCAGCTAATCCGCTCCGGATGTGGATATTTGGGAAGCATCTCCTTGGATTCAGCTGGATGAGGAGGATCGCAGCTAATCCGCTCCGGATGTGGATATTTGGGGAGCACCTTCTCCTTGGTGACACAGCAGGACAAGCCACGGCCACCTGGTTGTCTCCTTGCAGGAATTGGCAGCCTGGATGTGGCACAATTAATGAAGTTGTGATTTCAAGGAGAAGAGTTCCCGCTCCTTTCCTGGGTGGGTACTTCTATTACAAGCGACAAAAAGTATGTGGGGCCTTTTGTTTAACCAAAACCATGTGTTCTGTGCTCTGGGCACCACTGACTGCAGCTGAAGTCATTGGAGTCCTCAGAGAATGATTAATTTCTCAGTTAGAGCTGAGCTAGAACGAGGTTTAGGTCTAGGACTACAGCTAAATGCTAATCCATGTGCAAATGGGATGGGGAGGATTCATCCTCTCTAAAAAAATCACCCTGATGCTCCTTAGGGAACTGCTGTGCCTGAATTCAGCCAGGAAAAGTCGGGATGTGTCCCACATGGAAGTGGACCGTGCCAGGTCGCCCCACAGTTCATCCTGGCCACTCCTCAGCATCCAGGCGCTGGCATCCCATCCTCCTCCCACCAAACACCGCTGGGAAGCCGCAGGGTTTTCTTCTCCTGCCTCGGCCTCCCCGTTTTTAAACCAGCTCTGTTATCTGTGCTGCCAAACCACAGGGAGAATATTTGTACAAAGGCAGCTCAGTGGCTGGCCCGGGGGGATTTGAACTGTGGAGAAGAGGTCAGGGTGGTCACCCTCTCCCAGTCCCCAGCCACGCCCAGGAGTGGGACACTGGGCAGACGCATCATTCCCTCTCCCAGCAGGAATTTCCATGCCAGAAAAAGCACTGTGGTTTTCATTTAAGGTGGGTTTTTGGACAGGCTCTGGCCACAAAGTGAGAAAGTGTTTATCTCCCAGGGCCAGTCCTCCAGCCTTTATCACCCCCAGCCTGTTTATCCCACACTCCCTCTGCACCCGGAATCCCCTGGAGCCAGCACAGCACTGGGGGGAAATTCAACAAGTTGAGAAGAACCCCTCTGGTTTTGGGCTCTTAAATCCCCCCCTGGTTTGCTCAGCTCTGCTGCAGGTGGAGAATAAAGCGAGCGTGAGGGTTGGAGCTCTCTGAGAGCTTCTCTCAGAGAAGGGAGTCTGGGAGCACGAAATTCCCACAGGGAACGAGCAATAAATGGGTGACTGGGGAAATCGAGGCTAAGTTAATGGGTAACCTCGCTGATGTTCAGACCTTCAAAACGTTCCTGTCTGTCTGACTCAGCTTCTGTTTGTTCAACATCCAGCCCTACCAAAGACTGGGGCTGTGGGAGGCTCCAATCTCCCCTCCCAGATTGTCTTTCTTGGGGCTGTGACCCTCAGCACACCCCGGGGAGCTGCTTGGGTACGTGACCATTTCTGTTTTATTTTTGAACATCACCATCCAGTTTTTACCTTCAGATCTGTGCTGCCTCCTGCCTCTCATGGCGCCTGGGAGGGCTCTGAGGCTGTGTGATAATTTTGACCTTCCCCCCCCAAAATGATTTGCCTCATAAATTCCAAGTTCCTCTTTGAAACAGGAAAAACAAAAAAACAAAAAAACGGTGAGAGGTGTCACATTTCTGTCCTCACTCACTTTGTGACCTGCTTTATTTTTGGGGTTTGTGGGGTGCTCAGGGCAAGCAGGTGGATTTTTCATCCTTTCTGCCTTTCCCCAGGCAGCTTCCCAGCCTCTGGGCAGGGGAAAGGTCAAATAAACCTTTCTCCTTCCCGTGCCAGCCCAGTGGCCTGAAAACACGGGAAAATTAAGAGTAAATGCAGAGTCTGAGCTCAGCTCTCTCCTCTCCCTTCCCTCCCCTCGAACCAGGACTTCAAAGGAGCTGTGGGATGAAGGAAAAGGGTGAGTTTGCAAAACTCCCTATCCAAACTCCTCCTTATCCAAACTCCCTATCCAAACTCCTCCATATCCAAACCCCTCCTTATCCAAAGTTCTCCATATTCAAACTCCTTATCCAAACCACCTATCCAAATTCCTGGGAAGGGCAGAGGGGAAGCAGAAACATTTGGAATGATGGGATTTATCATCCCAAAAATATGTGCTGGATCCCTGCTTCCCTGGGAAGGGCAGAGGGAGTTATTTGGAATGATGGGGTTTATCATCCCAAAAATGTGTGCTGGATCCCTGCTTCTCTGGCAGAGGGGAAGCAGAACATTTGGAATGATGGGATTGATTTGGAATGCTGGGATTTATCTTCCTAAAATTTTGTGCTGATCCCTGTTTCCCCATGAAGGCCAGAGGGGAAGCAGAATATTTGGAATTACGGGATTTATTTTCCCAAATACCTGTGCTGGATCCCTGCTTCCTTGGGAAGGGCAGAGGGAGTTATTTGGAATGATGGGATTTATCTTCCTAAAAATTTATGCTGGATCCCTGTTTCTCCGTGAAGGGCAGAAGGGAAGCAGAATATTTGGAATTACGGGATTTATTTTCCCAAATCCATGTGCTGGATCCCTGCTTCCCTGGGAAGGGCTGACCAGTGGAAACCAGGGAAGGAATTCCTTGTTTTGCATCCCTCGCCTGTCTCAGGGTCTCCACCTCTCTGGAATCTCTCCCCATCCCACAGTGGGGGGCAGCCAGGGGGGCTGAGGGGATCCATCCCCCCGGGCAGCTCCCGGCCCGGAGCTGGCCGGGATCAGCTGAGCCTTGGGATCAGCTCAGCCTTGGGATCAGCTTAAACCTGGGATCAGCTCAGCCTCGGGATCAGCTTAAACCTGGGATCAGCTCAGACTTGGGATCTGCTCAGCCTCGGGATCAGCTGAGCCTTGGGATCAGCTCAGCCTTGGGATCAGCTGAGCCTTGGGATCAGCTCAGCCTCGGGATCTGCTCAGCCTCGGGATCAGCTTAAACCTGGGATCAGCTCAGCCTCGGGATCTGCTCAGCCTCGGGATCAGCTGAGCCTCGGGATCAGCTTAAACCTGGGATCAGCTCAGCCTCGGGATCTGCTCAGCCTCGGGATCAGCTTAAACCTGGGATCAGCTCAGCCTCGGGATCAGCTGAGCCTTGGGATCAGCTTAAACCTGGGATCAGCTGAGCCTTGGGATCAGCTCAGCCTCGGGATCAGCTTAAACCTGGGATCAGCTCAGACTTGGGATCAGCTGAGCCTCGGGATCAGCTGAGCCTCGGGATCAGCTTAAACCTGGGATCAGCTCAGACTTGGGATCAGCTCATCATATTATATTATATAATATTATATTATATAATATTATATAATATAATATTATATTATATAATATTATATAATATTATATAATATAATATTATATTATATTATATAATATAATATTATATTATATTATATTATATTATATTATATTATATTATATTATATTATATTACATTATATTACATTACATTGTATTCCCAAATATAAAATAATATATAACAATATAACAATTCACAATAATAACATTCAATTTTTATACATAGTCCCAAATACCCCAAACCCCGCTCTCTCCCCACCATAAATGACGTCACAGTGACGTCACCGCCGGCCGTTGGGGGCGGGGCCTTTGCCCGCCTCCGGGCCGTACCACAGCGGGGGCCGAGCGGGGGGGGGACGGGACGGCGCGGCCCACCCCAAGTGACGCGGGGGTGGCAGCGCGCATGCGCCGTGCGCGGCTCCCCTGAGGCGGGCGGGCGGCCGGGCCGGGCGGAGGCCGCGGCCGAGCCGGGGGCTCGCGTAGATGTGCAGCCCGGGCGAGGCTCCCCCTGGGCCGGCCCCGGCCGGGGACCTGCCCCCGGAGTGGGAGACGGATGACGAGCGCATGGCCTTCCTGTTCTCGGCCTTCAAGCAGAGCCGCGAGGTGAACAGCACCGAGTGGGACAGCAAGATGGCCTTTTGGGTCGGGCTGGTTCTGGCCCGCGGCCGGCGGCGGGGCGCGGTGAGGACGTGCCTGAGGGAGCTGCAGAACGGCTTCGAGCGGCGGGGCAGCGTGCCCCTGGGGCTCGGCACCGTCCTCAGGGAGCTGCTGAGGTAAGGGAGGTCGGGCGGGCTGCGGGGGGATGCGGCTGGCGGTGGATCCGTGCGCTGCCAGCCTAAGGGTGAATTCTGCGCCGCCAGGCCCTGGCACGGGTTTCCCACAGGAGCTGTGGCTGCCCCGTCACTGGAGGCGTCCAAGGTTTGTTTGGCCATGTTGCTCGGAGCAACCCGAGGCAGCGGGAGGTGTCCCTGGCGTGGCAGGGTAGCACTGGGTGGGATTTAAGGTCCTTCCAACCCAAAGCAGTCTGAGATGCTGTGAATTGCGGTTTATGAGGTGTGTGTGTGTGGAATTTGGGAGGCTGAGCTGGACAGGGAATCGGAGCTCAGCCAGGGCTCGCAGGAGGTGTGGGAGGACAGGGAATATTCCCACGGGAATATCGCTGTTTAAAGGGGGGATGTACCCTGGAATGTTGTGGTGTCGCAGCTGCCGAGGGCACTGGGATGTGTTGGGCTAATGTTTGCAACCAGAGGTTTTGTGCTGTGAAATTGGAGCCCGGGACTGGTATCTCGAAGAGGCTCAAAGCAGCAGGAGCTCTGCTGGTGACCTGAAAATTAAAACCAGTAGGTCTGAGAAACTATTGTTGCAATTTGATATAAAAACTATCCTGAAACGGCTGATTGCCCCTAAAATTGACCCTCCTGTTCATTCTCTGGTTTGATGCCTCATCAGTTTCGAGTAGAAAACTGGGAGAAACTTGTAAAATGGGAAAAAAGAGTAAATAAAAGGCATTTGGGCTTCAGAGGAAGCAGGGGAGGAGTGGAAACCTCTGTGTGCTTCCAGCAATGAAATCTCGAACTTGAGCTGGATTTGTTGATAGAAAATACTCCTGGAGTGGAGGATGTGCAGGATATCCAAGGTTCAGACTGACTGTCTTCACTTCCACCTGAATTATCTTTTCCCTAGACGTGGGAAGCTCCAGAGGGAGTCGGACTTCATGGCCAGTGTAGACAGCAGCTGGATCTCATGGGGTGTGGGAGTTTTCATCCTGAAGCCCCTCAAGTGGACCCTGTCCAGTGTCCTGGGGGACAGCAAAATTCCTGAGGAGGAGGAGGTTCTGATTTACGTGGAGCTGCTGCAGGTGAGTGTTGTGGAGAGCTTTCCTGGGATTGTGCATCTCCAGGAAAAAAAACAGGAGTAATTTCATGTGCTGGGAAGGAAGGGTCAGGGATGAGCAGATCTTCGTTGCTCCTCCTGAGGTGTTCAAAAACCTGGAGGGAGATGGGTAGAGTGACTTGGAGATGGGAAGTGGATTTAGATGTTCCTTAAAAATGATGGAGCTGCTCCAAGGGCTGGGAGAGCTGGGAATGTTCACCTGGAGAAGAGAAACTCCAGGGAGAGCTAACATCCCCTTCCAGAGCCTGAAGGGGCTCCAGGAGAGCTGGAGAGGGATTTGGACAAGGGATGGAGACACAGGACACAGGGAGTGGCTCCCACTGCCACAGGGCAGGGATGGATGGGATTTTGGGAAGGAATTCCCAATGTGGGTGGGATGGAATTCCCAGAGGAGCTGTGGCTGCCCCTGGATCCCTGGAAATGTCCAAGGCCAGGCTGGAGCAGCCTGGGGCAGTGGGAGGTGTCCCTGCCTCTTCAGGGGTGGCACTGGGGGGGATTTCAGGTCCTTCCATCCCAAATCGTTCTGACAATGATTTTTCAGTGACTCCAAGAAAAGGAAGGGACACAATTCCTTGCTTGTCCAGGGAGGCAGGAACTGTGCTGGGAGGCAGCTGTGAATCCCAGGCTGGAGCTCATTCCTGAGTAGGACACGAGGAACTCTCAGCCCAAGCTCCATCTGGGGATGAGCAGGGGATGGAACAGGCACAGCTTGGCCATGCAGTGTCCCACCAGCCCAGATTCCCTGGGCATTATTCCAGCTGCTCTCCCGTGGGATTGGATCCTGTCCCAGCCTCTCTTCTCTCTCTGTTACTCTGTGTCTGCAGAATGAGCCCCAGGCCTTGCTGGGGCTGTCTGGGTTACTGTGTCCAGCAGAACTGCAGGAAATCTTTAAAGGCAGGAATTTGTATTTGGTTCAAGCCTGGGGAGGGATTTCCAGGAGGTGCAGGGGAAGCCTCTGTGGTTCCTGTGCTGTTCCACAGCCTTTCAGGGAATATCAGTAACAGAATTTTGGTTTTTGTGGGTGACTGTTTTGGGAATTCCCTGTGGCTCTTTCTGAAATTCACTCCAGAACAAAACAGGAAGTGTCCAAGTTGGGAGGAAGGAGGTGTGGGAGCATTTGGGAAGAGCAGGAATGCTGTGTGGGCTGACAGCATCCCTGTGATGCCTTGGAGTGGCTACTTAGAATGGAAGCTAGACAGAGTTAGAGCATAAAAATATTTATTAAATAAAAGTATTTATTAATAATAAATAATAAAGTTATTTATAATAATAACAAATTGATAAATATTTATTTATAATCATATTAAAGGCCTTCAGTAGATACATCTTGGGTATAGGTGCACAGTGGTTTTTCAGACAGGTATGAGCTTGGTCCATTTACATATCAATGGATTAATCCTCCATTAATCCATTGGGTTAATCCTCCAATTACAGCTTCAGGTGATGAAGTAATTTACCCCCAGTTTGCTCCCCACAATTGACTTTTGTTGATACTTTTCCGGGCCTGAGGCAGTGCAGTGTCCTTGGTTCTCAGGCCTGGAGGGATTGTTTTGTGTGCCCAGGTTGTGAAGGCAGTAACTCAGCTCTCAGTGGAGTTGAGTTACGCACTGGGGCAGCACAGGATGTGCAAAATCCCAAAGGTGGAATCCTAAGGCATCGCTGGATCCCTTGCAGGAGAAGGCAGAGGAAGTTTATCGCCTCTACCAGAGCTCTGCCCTCTCTTCCCACCCCGTGGTCGCCCTCTCCGAGCTCCGCTCCCTCTGCGCCGGCCTCTGCCCGGATGAAAGGACCTTCTACTTGCTGCTGCTCCAGCTGCAGAAGGAGAAGAGGGTCACCATCCTGGAACAGAATGGAGAGAAGGTACAGGGTCCAGGTGACTGCTTTTGGGTGGTATCATCCCTGTCTTGCCTTCCGTCTGCCCGGAGAGAAATGGATTTTAGCCATTTTGGTGGCTGCAATGGGTGTTCTCTGTCTGGAAAGGTAAATTCCACGTGCTCCAGTGTTGTTACTTGGTTGTAGGTGACAAGAAATCCTCATTCTGGCATTAAACATTTGTAATAATTCAGATTTAATTTAAGAGTTAAAACATGGCAGACCCTGCAGGTTGACTATTCCCAGCTACACAAACTCCACACCTCTCGAATCAGTGTGCAATGCCACTTTTTTTGAAAAGCTTTTTATGTTTGTCACTTCCTACAGAGGTGCAGGCACTTGGCTCTGAGATTGCACTTTCCCTGAAGTATTCTGAAGTCCTTGGGAGTCTGACATTCCCTTCCACTTCCAGAATCCAGGGACAGCTTTAAATCTTCCAGGTGTTCCATTAAGGCTTTTTGTTTTCACACTGCTGGTCCTGATCCTGGTTTAATATTAAATCCTGTGGTGACTGGGACAGCCTCATGACTCCAAGGCCTAAACTGGGAGTGCAAAAAATTTCTTTTCCTTCCTTCCAATTGAAATTATTCCTAATTTAGATTTCTGGGAAGTGACTCCAGCCCGTGCTGCTCTGATTTTAGATTGTGAAGTTTGCCCGAGGCCTCCACGCCAAGGTGTCCCCCATGAATGATGTGGACATTGGAGTTTATCAGCTGATGCAGAGTGAGCAGCTGCTGTCACAGAAGGTGGAGTCCCTTTCCCAGGAAGCAGAGAAGTAATTTGGGGAAGGGTGGTGGGAACAACATCTGTGGGATGTAGAACTTTGGGACACAATTAGAAGCTGCTTTCTCCTGTTGATGTTTCCTGTCAGTAAAACAGTCACAGCCATGTGCTGGAACAGCTTTTCCAGCCTTTGTTCCCTGTTCCTTATGAAAACAAGGTGCAGGGAATGGCTGTGGGGAATGTTTGCAAGGATTTGGAGTGGGAATCAGAAGTGGTTTGAGGGTGGTTACATCCAAAATGCTCCATTGTGGTCCCCTCAGAGACAGGGGGAGGGTGGTTGTGAAAAAAGGAAGAAATTTCTTTTCCTTTTTCCATCTTCTAGGTGTAAAGAGGACGCCAGGAGTGCTTGCAGGGCTGGGAAGAAGCAGCTGGTGAGTGGAATTTGCAGGGAAATGTCCTGGAGCTGCTCCAGATCATGCCCAGGGTTCAATCTGGGGCTTCATCCCAGGGGTGTTGCAGTGAAACCAAAGCTCCCCTTAAGGTGAAGGATTTATTTTCCAGAGAGAGGTGATGAAGGGAATTGGAAATAAACTCTTAAACCCACTTGTTTTACGTGTGCCTCAGGGATTCCTGGTTGATTTGGGGTTTTTTTTATGACAATTCCAATCCCAGAATACCCCGAGTTGGAAGGAAGCCACTCAGAATCATCAAAATTCAACTCCTGGCTCTTTTGTTTCTTTTAATTTGTCAGTTAAAATATTTTTCTTGACATGATCATTTCTGTACAAGTTTAATACAAACACAAACACAGATTTCACAACCTTTCTCTGTTTTTCCCTACTTCTTGTATGATGCTACAGGCAACAAGTACCTGCTTTTAATCAGCATGAAATTCCACAAGGATTCCTTTTTCTGAAGGAAACTTCAGCACCCAGCAATGGGAATAGCTGCAGATGCCAGCTGCAATAGTTCAGATGGAATATTTTTGATGTTCAAGCTGAAATATTTAGATGTTTAGAGTTTAGCCGGAATATTTTGGATGTTAAAAATTGTAGACTTTTTATACTAACAGACTCTAACTCCTAAAAAAAAACCACTGCATTTAACTTAAAACTATTAAAAAAAACCTTCTAAAATTAATTAATAACACTAAGATTATAAGTGTATAATTTAATGAAAAATATATAATATTACAAAGTAAAAAACTTAAAATATAAAAATATATATAAAATTTTTAAAATAAAACAAAACATTTTTATTTATATTTCTCCTTATAAATTTAAATAATATTTTTAGAGCTTCATCCCCATTTTCTCATGCATTTCTGGCCAGGCTCTGTGTACAAATCTGGAGCTGTTTTATTTTCCAGCACCACTCTCACCACATGCTTGTGGCAGTGGGAAGATGCCAGCAGCTCTCATCTCCAGCAGCAGCTGCAGAACTCAATGTTACAAGTTTTAAAAGTTATTTTTTTTACTCGCTTTAAAAGTTTTTTGACCAATCACAGAAAGCAAAAGCATATTGACAGTAGATTTTTCCAAGCACACGTACCTTTGGTTAAAACAGTGCTTGCTTATTTCAAATACAACACCTGCTTGTAAACCTTAAGATACAGTGCACAGAGTTCCATGATTAAGCTTCAAACTTCCTAATATCTCACTAGATATACTTTTCTGCAACTTAGGGAGTAATTCTAGCCAAGTGTTAATACACAAAGCATTGTTTTATTTGTCCTTACTTTCTACTTATGTAACTACTGCTCAGTTCTAGCCACAGTTCTGCTGTTTTTAAGGCCTGCCTTTTGCAGCTTTCCCAAAATTCTCTGATTTTGAGCATTCCCACAGCAAGGTGCCAGCAGGAGTTATTGGACTGACCAAAGTGGGAGCGAGCCCAGGGGAGGGGAGAGTTCCCAGATTTGTGTGTGA